TTTCCCCACTGCTGCTGCCAGCCCTGATGAGTATTTCCAGCATTTTGTCTGTACTCCACATAACTTAACTGATGGAGAGGTGTGACATAGGATCATGTTAAGATGATCCTTTCTAAACTTGAAAGTTTAAGGTGTTGAAAGAGGAATCTCTTACCATCTGGCACTTTTTCAATTTTTTTTTAAATTCTGGTTTTGTAACCAAGATGGCATCGGAGAATGGCGACTCTGTACAGTTTTCACTATACTTGAGTACACATGGCAACAAAATCTAATTCTAATTCATATTTACCCATATCTTTGGTGTGCCGCCCATTTCACCAGTCCAGGAAAATCTGCTGTTATCTGACTTCGACTTGCAACTTAGCCAAGTTTTGTAAAATCCCCAAACTTCAAATCACCTGCTCAAATCCAGGTCCATCATGAAGAGAAATTAAACCTCTTAATTCCAACTCCTAGAGGATGCCACTCAAAATTGTGATCCACCCAAAATCCATGAATTCACTCATTCTGTCCACCTCCAATTCCTTAACCAACATACCCAAGGTACCATTCTTTTCAATCCTATACTTGTCATTACTGATTATGTGTGCTACATGGTCAATTTATCAAATTTATCTGTTGTGCTAGCCTCAACAAACTTCTTTGCTACTTCCAAGAATTTACACAAATTTGTCAGGTATCATTAATCATGAAGAAATTTGTATTGGATATCTTATTTAACCTTTGCTTCTCCAAAGGAGAATAAACTTCGTTCTTGAACTTAGTTCACCTTATACTTGAAACTACATTTCTAAAAATCAGTATTACGAATGACCCCGGCAAAACTGTGATGCACTGTCATCCATTTCTCCTCATTGTACATATCAGCACCGCCTCTTCTACTTCTACCAAAAGTAGAAAAACAGGGAGGAAAAAAAAAACAGAGTTGATTCAGCCTGCGTGCTGATAATGTGAATGTGAAGATGGTGGGTAATGACACAAACAATAGTCTTCAATGCATACCCCCATCAAAATCCCAATGTGCACCATTTGCTGAGCAATTTGATGCATTCTTTTAGCTTTTCTTCATAAATAAGAATCAGCGTCAGTTTTGTACATGTATTAAGTTACAAGCACAGAATTTCCTGTATTACATATCAACATGCTTACACAAAAAGTTTTCAGTGCAGAGATTCTTGGGGAGATAATCTGATTTTGGGTCAATCGAGACTATTGACAGAAAACTGCCTCAAATCAGAAACTTTAAGTCTGAGTCACAGAAGGAAAGAAGTAGCTAACACATCTGGACTACCTCTCATGTGCTCAGGGCTTCTCAAATTTAACCAAATAAATTACTTTAAGTGTGGCAAGTTACAAGAATGAAAGTGTTTAACCTAAATCTTGTAAACAACCAGTTTTTGCAATTTCAACCATTTCTTAACAAAACGATGATGAACCTCTGTCTTGTCTTGACGTTATCTCACTCGCAGCTCCAGATCGGGAGCAAAGACAGGTCAATCAAGTTAAGAATGGATAAACTGAATCTTGTAAGGAGGCAGATTAGAGTGAAAAAATTTCTTTTAGTGGCATTTGCAAACATTGACCTGCTCATTTTTTATTTAAATGCAGGATTTCCCTGGCAACCATTTCACCCCTCCAACAAACTATCACATTTAAATTGACAAAACTGTCAATTGACATCTTGGGTGAAACCACACTTAAATGTTTTGAAATAAAACTTCCCCAAAGTATCTCAGACTGAAGCCAACCTTGAATTTCCTTTCAGAATCCCTGTTAGTCGACATTTCATGATCACTGTGGGCCCCAAGAAAGACTTGTTTTTTGTTTATGTTTAAGAAATCAGGGTTATTCGACTACGTGGCCAAATTTCATCTGAACTCCATCTACAAGTTCGTAGCTGACACAACTATTGTAGACCAGATATCAAACAATGACGAGACAGAACATAGGAGAAATAGAGTGCTTGGTGATGTGATAACATCAAAGGTAACAATCTCTCCCTAAATGCCAGCAAAACTAGAGAGCTGATCATCGACTTCAGGTAGCATGGAGGAGGGCACACCGATATTTACATTGATGAAGCCAAGGTGGAGATATTGTGAGTATCAAGTTCCAAAGAGTGATAATCACCAACAATCTGATTTGGACCACCTGCATTGTTGCAATGGTCAAGAAGGCACAACAACGCCTCTTCTTCCTCAGGAGGATAAGGAAATTCACCACGTCCACTAGGACTCTCACCAACTTTTACAAATGCACCATAGAAAACATTCTTTCAGTGATAGTAGGAACTGCAGATGCTGGAGAATCCGAGATAACAAGGTGTAGAGCTGGATGAACATAGCAGGCCAAGCAGCACCAGAGGAGCAGGAAGGCTGACGTTTCGGGCCTAGACCCTTCATCAGAAATGGGGCAGGGGCAGGGGGTTCTGAAATAAATAGGGAGAGAGGGGAGGCGGATAGAAGATGGATAGAGGAGAAGATAGGTGGAGAGGAGACAGCCAGGTCAAAGAGGCGGGGATGGAGCCAGTAAAGATGAGTGTAGGTGGGGAGGTAGGGAGGAGTCAGGTCGGTCCAGGGAGGACGGGCAGGTCAAGGGGACGGGATGAGGTTAGTAGGTAGGAGATGGGGGTGGGGCTTGAGGTGGGAGGAAGGACAGGTTCGCACTAAACAACTGCACCTCCCAGTCGCGAACCATTTCAACTCCCCCTCCCATTCCTCAGACGACATGTCCATCCTGGGCCTGCTGCAGTGCCACAATGATGCTACCTGAAGGTTGCAGGAACAACAACTCATATTCCGCTTGGGAACCCTGCAGCCCAATGGTACCAATGTGGACTTCACAAGCTTCAAAATCCCCCCTCCTCCTACCGCATCCCAAAACCAGCCCAGCTTGTCCCCGCCTCCCTAACCTGTCCTTCCTCCCAGCTATCCCCTCCTCCCACCTCAAGCCCCACCTCCATCTCCTACCTACTAACCTCATCCCGCCCCCTTGACATGTCCGTCCTCTCTGGACCAACCTGTCTCCTCCCTACCTCCCCACCTACACTCACCTCTACCGGCTCCACCCCCGCCTCTTTGACCTGTCTGTCTCCTCTTCACCTATCTTCTCCTCTATCCATCTTCTATCCGCCTCCGTCCTCTCCCTATTTATTTCAAAACCCCCTTCCCCTCCCCCATTTCTGAAGAAGGGTCCAGGCCCGAAACGTCAGCTTTCCTGCTCCTCTGATGCTGCTTGGCCTGCTGTGTTCATCCAGCTCTACACCTTGTTATCATAGAAAACATTCTGTCTGGATGCATCACGAATTGGTACGCAACTGTTCTGCCCAGGACCATAAGAAATTGCACAAAGTTATGAACACAGCCCAGGCCATCATGCAAGCCAACCTTCCATCCAATAACTCCATCTACACTTCTCGAAGCCTTGGGAAGGCAGCCAACATCAAGAAAGACAATTCCAACCTCTGCTGTCAGGCAGAATATACAAAAGTTTGAACATGTACCAACAAGTTCAAAAACAGTTTCACCCCAACTGTATTAAGACTTCTGAATGGACCTCTCAAATTTCAAATCTAATGTTGATCTTGCCTTTTGTGCATTTTCTTTGCAGCTGTGACTTTGTATTCCTCACTATGTTCAATCACCCTTTGACTTTTTGTGTTTTTTATGCATGCAAAACAAAACTATTCACTGCACTTGGTGCATGTAACAATAATAAATCAAATTTAATCTTTGGCAGATAATTTTGCAATGATTTTCCGGGTGTTGACAATCACGCCCATAAAGTTTAAACAGGGCGCCAGAACATGAAACAGCCTTGAAAAGTCAATAACCAAAGTCCACAGCTTCAGAATAAGAGAATTTAAGGGGAACTCGGAGATGAAATGCAGTCTACTACTATCCGTTGAATTAAAGGGAAAGGGAAGAAACCTACTTCCGTACTTCTTGATTAAAATCAAACAAATCTCAAATTATACCTCAAACAAACATTTACATCCACAATCCTTTTCAGATAGTCTTGATATTTATTGAAACCACATTGCAAATTCCGTTCTTTCCTCCCCTGCCTTCCGAACTACCATGTCCTCATCCAAACACGAATGTGGGAGCAGTTGCTGGAAGATTTGCTCTACCCCACGGGGTCACTGTTTGTTCAAAAGCAGGCAACGTGGAACGACTGAATGTCAGGGAATGATCCAGTGGTTTCTGCCGTCGGGAGCTGCTCTGGCGAGTCATCCCATGTCAAGAATCAAAAACCACAAGGCCAGCCAATGGGAGCGTCAGAAACTGGATGTGAACCATCACCAAATCTGTGACTTCATGTTGACAAAAAAAAATCTAACTGATAAAATGTGTTACACAAGGCTATTCGTTTTCCCCCTTCTAATGCGAGTTGATGTGTACCGGTCACGAAAGCCTTGCGACGCTTCCCTTTCAGAGACCAACAGACTCCCTACGAAATGATGCTGGAAGGGATTAGTTCCAGTTTCATTGCAGACACTGGAAGTCAATTTCAGGCGCAGCGTAGGACTGGCGATCAATCCGCTGCCGCCCCAACCAAACTGCCAGTTTACCCTGCGATCACCGGGAATTTACAACCGCTAACCCAACACCCCCTTTGTCTTCCCCCACCCGACTCCCCTTGATACGGGACCTCGATCACCAAAGCTGTTCCCGATGATTGGCCCAAGCGAAACAAGATTGAGCTCATTCTTAAATTTTGGAACAAATTTCAAAAGCATGGGTGCAGAGAACATTTTAGCTGCAGTCCACCAAAAACTCATCAGAACACAACAAAAAACACCCTCCAGGTAACTATTGTACTTATCGCCACCTGAAATGACTTCACCTCGGCAGTGGGAGCGAAAGTAATCGACAAGGGAAAACTGACAGCAGCCCAGTACTGCCGCACTGAGAAAATGCCTTCCCCACACCCAAGGATTTTCATTACGCGATTCCGCAAAGTGATTTGGCTTCGTTTCTTTCCCCCCAGTGACTCACCGATCTTTGCTATCGCAAGGTATAACAATGCCATGAAAGTTGGCATAAAAGCAGCGTAATATTTCCCGAAATTTCCAGCCATCTTCTGTCTCCAGTCCGTCCCAAGCTCTGCCGGTGCTCCCTCACCACTGGTAGACCAGGCGTTGCTCTGGCTTCAACAGGCCAGAGAGCAATGCATTTCACCCTTCACTTTTAACGGAGCGATTTACAGGTGCAATTGGTTTTATCCGGAAGAGCTGACCGTTACGTCCCCTGTCATCTAAATATAAGAGTCAAAAAAATGCGCTTTGAAAGGAATTCGTCTGCAGCACTTTCGAACTGCGATTCCGCTCTGATCATCCATTCATAATTCCCCAGCGACTGCTAAAGCAACGCATGCGCTTCCAGTTCACCCCCATCCCCCATACACATATGGACTGAGCTGCGCCCCCTTTGCGACGCTTCGGAATCGGTCCCATCGGGATAACTTTCCTGGGCTGCAGCATCGCCTTCGAGGAAAACCTGTTCCGAGCAAAAGACCTTGATTTCGCCGGTATTGCACGGTGGTGGGGGGGGGGGAAGCAACGAATCTGTTGGTCCAGAAGGAGAAACTGTTCTTTGTACGTGACTCAAAGACTAAGTCCTCACAGATTGAAGGCGAAAAAAGAAATTGGAGGCAATTTATTTGTTTGTTTGTTTGTTTGTTTGCAATGAGTTGTAAACTGCGCGACCTGAAAGGGCGGTTTAGGCAGATTCAACTGCACGACTCCCATGAGACGTGAGAAAAATTGATGTCTGCCTGCAAGGAAATAGCAGACGAGTGGAACTAATTGGACAGCTCTTTCAACCCCAGTTGATGCAGAAGACAACAAAAACAAAGTTGCTGGAAAAGCTCAGCAGGTCTGGCAGTATCTGTGGAGGAACAAAACAGAGTTAACGTTTCGGGTCCGGTGACCCTTCCTCAGAACTGATGGTGGCTGGGAAAACGTCACTTTATATGCAGAAAATAGGGAGGGGAACGGGGTAGGGAGTGAACGATAGGATAGAGCCTAAAGAGAGAGAAGAGCAGTTGGACAGACAAAGAGTTGATAACGATCAGGCTGGGAGGGTGAATAGTTGTTAATGGGGACTGTTAGTGACTAACAACAGGGGGTGTGTAAAGGCAGGCTCTGTGGTAACAAGGCCTGGTGTGTGGGGTAGCGGGCTGGGACATGGGAGAGTTTAGGCCCTAAAATTATTGAACTCAATATTGAGTCCAGAGGGCTGCAGGGTCCGCAAGTGGAAAACGAGGTGGTGTTCTTCCAGCTTGTGTTGGGTTTTGCTGGAACACTACAGCAAACCAGAGGCAGAAATGTTGGCTAGGGAACAGGGTGGTGCATTGAAGTGGCAGGCAACAGGTAATTCAGGGTCTTTTCTGTGAGCAGAATGTAGAGATGTTCTGCAAAGCGGTCACCCAGTCTACACATGGTTTCCCCAATGTAGAGGAGACCACATTGTGAGCAGCGAATGCAGTAGACGAGATTGTGTGAAGTGCAGGTGAAGTGTTGCTTCACCTGGAAGGTCAGTTTGGGCCCTTGGATACTGGGGACAGAGAAGGTAAATGGGCAGGTGTTGAGACTACACTGGTTAGAGGGAAAAGTGCCGTAGGGCTGTGGGGGAGTGTTGGGGGTGAAGGAAGTGTAGACCAGGGTGTCCCAGAGGGAACGGTTCCTGCGGAAGGCGGACAAGGGAGGGGAGGGGAATTTGTGTCTGGTGGAGGCATCTTGCTGGAGGTGGTGGAAATGGCGTCAGATGATCTTCTGGACATGGATGCTGGCGATTTTACCTGCCATCCTATCTGGTATCTTACTGGTGCTCAGTTCAAACAGTGAAAATAGCTATTGTACAGTTGTGTGCCTCAATGATAACTGACTGTCAAGCCAATCTTCTTATGAGCTGTGCACTTCTATGCAAAAATCAATGAATAGAAATTATACGCAGGAAAAAAATGACCTATATTTCTTCTCCCTCATGCAAAAGCTAATTCTGGATCTTCAATTGTTGCCTCAGCTGAGGTCAGTTAATTCAGAATGAACCAGCAATTCAGTTTTACTGAAAGGAGAGACGTGCTATCACAGCTTTTCATTTCACACTCATCAGTGCAAAAATGACATTTCAAAGGGAGCAACAATACACACTACATGAGAATGGGTGCTGACTGGTTTTCAAATTGACCTTGATTGGTTGGTGTTGGTCAGAGAATGCCCCAGTGAACTGTTGTCCCCAGATTTTCATTTAAGTTTAATAAAGTGCAATGCTTGGACTTATTCCTGTAGAAGACAGATCCGTTTCTAGGAACATATGTAGCTTGTGGAATGAATATCAAATCAATTGTATCAAATTGTCTCTCTCACTTGGTGGAGTCTTGTGTCCAGCATTGGAGTTCCTGATGCCGTTTTACCCTCTCATTCTGGTCCAGGAAATCAGACTTAACCTGGTGCAGAATCTTCATCCCGTTAGCAACTCTGCAGGTGCTATTCCTGTAGTTGCATGTGGGGTGATCCTATAATCAAATGAGAACCATGACAACTTGGTATCTAGCGAGGCTGTTTATTCAAGCCAGCCTTCAAACTTTGAACTACTCTTTCTGCCAGACTACTGGATGATGGGCGGTATGGAGCTGTCCTTTTATGTCAAATCCCATTTGATTTTAAGAAATAACTAAATTCCCTGCTGGTAAATGATGGCTCGTTATCTGTGACCATCACTTCGAGACTCTGTGTCTTAAAAAGATGCATACAGTTTTTCTGTTGTCATCCCCGTGTTTGATGAATTAACCCTATGCACGTGGTATCTGCAATGACTGAGAACATTGAATCCATGAAAGGACCTGTAGAGTCGATGTGCAACCAAGTCCAAGGTTTACCCAACCATTCTCATGAATGTGAGGAAACTGCTGGTGGTAATTTTTGTCCTTGTTAACACTGGGTGCTGCCCCATCAATGCGGCTATGTCTGTATCCAGGCCTGGCCACTAGACAAAACTTCCTGCTAACATGTTCATTTTGGAGACCCCTTGATGGCCAAGGTGGAGTTCAGCCAGTATTTGACAGCGACCTTCACTCGGAACAATCACTCTTGCTCCCCATAACAATCTGCTGTCCTCTACCATTAGCTGGTCTCTCTGGGTCCAAGAAGATTTCATTTCTAGTTGTGACAGCCCTTTGGTTTACCCCATCAATACCTGTTGTTGAAGTTTTGAAAGGAATGGATCTTTTTGTGTCCAAAGTCTGAGATTGTATGCTGTGACTGGGAATGTGTCCAGAAAGTTTAATACACTTACAGGCCCTTCCACTGGGACGGGGTGGGGGGCGGTTTACCCATAATCCAAACAAAGGCAAACCTACCCATTGGATTTCACAATCAATATGACTGGTGCACCCATTCCACGAATTGGACTGATGTGATGATTCCTTCACTTTCCAGCCTTCTGATTTCGACCTCTACTTTTGCCCATAAGGCACTGGGTGGGCCTTGCAGATTTGGTTCTTGGACAACTTGCAAGGTGGCCTTGGCTACTCTGATAGCCCTTAGACCTTCCTGGAAGACATTGGGTATTTAATAAGGACTTCCCTGAGGCAGCAATTTTCTAATTGATAAATATTGAGCCAATCTAGGTGAATCTTTCGCAAACAATTTCGTCCCATCAAGTTTGTGCCTGAACCTTTTACTACAATCACTGTTAACTGAACCCACTGCTTTTTAAAAAAGACCAGAAACAAAGTTGTACCCTTCATCTGTAAAGCTGGTTTCAGCCCTCAGCCTAGCTGAGATCTTAAGCAAAGTTAAGGGCTGGAGTCCAGAGTGAATTTTATTGAAAACTGGTTCTGCAACGCCGGTGTCGACTTCCATTAGACTGGGTGACCACCTAACCAGCTGTTTATCTTGACTGATTCTCATTTTGATGTTGCTGAGCAATTTAACTGTTCCAAATCAGATGTAGGTGAACTTTCCAGAGTATGAGCTTTCTTGGATATCCTCCTGGATGCTGGTCTATGAGTTATCTAACTCTCTATAGGTGTAGAAGGACTTTTTTGCTGTCTCAAGTCTATATACCAGCAACAACTATAATGGCTTGCCTACCTGCATCCTGAAGAAAATTTTAACCGTTTGGCCAAGGCTTGGCTTTGTTTTGGAGTTTTGCTGTGGACCGACCTCAAGTGCCTCTAACCAGATATTTCCTGAGTGAGCTTTTACAATTGCTGCACTCAAGTGATGCTCTGCCAACTCAGTTGGACTGGTGAGGCTGTCCACTTCCATTGGAGCACTCTGAAACTCAGATGCTCCCATTGCTGAATTTTCCAGTGTTAAAACTGGATATAGTGCCTGTTTGAAGTTCAGTTGCACGTCAGCTAGGAAGGGTTTTTGCACAGGCTTCTGCCAATCATCTTAACCAAGTCAAAAATCCCAATAACAGATTCTTCTGGTTTTGAAATTGCTGCGTAAAAGCAATAACATCAGACATCTCAGAATTGGAGAAGGTTTGGGGTCATAATACTCTTTAACTATGTTCATCAATTTTTGAAAGGTTTTAGTATCTGGTCCCTCAGGGAAAATTAGGCTCCTGATGACAGAAAAAGTTGCTGCTCCACACACTGTCAGGAGAATTACTCATTGATTTTCATCTGCGAAAGTGTTGTTTGCCCAAAAAGATAACTAATTTTTTCTACTTACTGGGCCTGGACCTCGACAGCAGGGTGGAACAAGTCAAGCTTCACAAACAAATAAATGCTTAACTCAGCTAAAAGACAACTGTTGCGGGTGAGTTTCTTCAGGATTGTGCTTTTCTCTCGTTGCCACTGAAATAACTCCACAAAAACCTGTATCCCATCACCAAGTCTCCCTTTATTTGCATGAGCAATCTTTGACTATAGTATTGCTTCACACAGCATCAGGCACCAGCATGTCCGTATCCCTAACACTCAATCTTTTTATATCAGCCAGGACTCCCTGATTGGACCAGATTAATAGCACTAATCAGGGAACTCAGATTCTAGAAGGCCCAGCTGGCTGACCTCATTACAATCACTATAGCAGCTCTTCACCATTATTCCATCAGCACCTCACAAGTCTTAAACCATGACCAAATGGAGGGGCAAGTGCAGCAGTTACACTACCACCTTCAAGTTCGACTCCAATTTGACTCCAATTCACACACCATCCGTATTTGGAAATGTATTGCTGTTCCTTCATTGTTGCTGATCATGTCCTTGATTGTAAGGGCTTCAATGGTTCAAGAAGGTGGCTTAGCCCACTGTCTTTTTGAGAGTAGCTAGGGATGGGCAATAAATGTTATCCTTGCCAGCAATGCCCACATGTTTAAGAAAAGGTTTATATAGTCC